AGAAGATATTTCTCTCTCAAATCTATATATTTATCACAAACTAATAATACATGGAATTCATCTTCAATAAAACCCAATTTACTGTTTGCGCATTTAATTAGTTCAATATCGTCTTGTTTATACCTTCTGGAAAAATTGACATTAAAATTGTGTAGGGAAAGTCTAAATTTACACATGGCTCTTATAAAATCCTTATTTTCTAATGATGTCAAATATTTCTCTGGTTCTATAGCTGACTTAATCGAATTATAATGACATAAAAAGGATGAAGACGAAATACTATTGTACCATGTTTGATAATACATATCTTGTAATCTTTGTTTTAATGAAAATAGAGATAACTCTTCATCACCAAAGTCTTGCGCAATCCAAACAAAAGAATACCCACAAGTAAAAAGCAAAGATCTAACATTTGAAACCCAGTTACAACTGGTCTTACCATTATCATAAAGAGTTTTTAATACATTATAGCAGTGATAAGGATATCGTTGTCGTTCCATCTTTAGTAATTTACATCAATATTTAAAAACTGTTTATATAATTTCATTTGTCTATTTCACCACACGTTCTTCTTACCGAGTCACTTTCTCAGTTCGATAATTTAAAAGCAATGTCATTATTTAGCGTTGACACAATTTCTAATTGTGATATAGATATGTCGCTGTCACAGATAAAACTCAATGTCTTGTTTTATTGACACCTGTGTGTCTGCCTGCCTGTCTGCTAATGACAATATTCAATACACAACTGCGATCACTGACCACATGCAATTTGAACTTAACACCAATCAGGCTATACACCATAAACAAAACGCATTGATTTATGGCCCGAGTTCGGTCTCTGTCACATTATGTAATTACACAGACAGGCAGGTGTGATACTTGAACACATGACATGTTATGATGTCTGTTGATTGCAAAATGTAATACACAAAATATGAGCATGTATTTACAAAACCCAACATCTCTATATATATGTCAGGGTAGAGACTGCGATCTGGTAGAATCGGAGATTCTACCAGTAGAGATTGCGATCGGAGTCTCTACCAGTAGAGACTGCGATCGGAGTCTCTACTGGTAGAATCTCCGATCCTACTAGTAGAGGTTGCAATCGTCTTCAACTGGTAGAAACTCCGAGTGATCTGTGGGTAAACAACAAAGACACTTTTTCTGAACAGTACTATGCATTTTATTCAGATATAACACTAGACTGTTTCCTTCAGCCCAGTATCCATACACTTAGTTAAAACAACAAAATGATTTCACCTATGACTAATTGATCCATGAGAGTAAGGGGTGAACAACACAAAGATAAGCTGGATTAACAGTTTGAGATTAACAGATTAAGACTGACTGAAACTGAGTAAACGATTATATTAATTACCTTAAGATTGGTTTGTTTAAACATATTATATTTCGAAGGAAAACTGAATTGTTAAACAAGCATGTTGGCTTATTGTTACACTGCTCCAGGAAATACAGAATTGGTTTGTTGTTATAAGCTATAGGTGTATTGGCATGTCGGCATTTTGGGAGGATAGGTGTAGGGCAATTCCCCACCAGGTCATTTCCCCACCTCTTTGGAAAGCAGTGTTTTTATAACAATTACTGATCATAAGTTTTGAAATACATCTGAATGAACTTCCTACTTTTAACTGAGACTTTGATAACAAACATTTAACACCTCACTGTAAACAATATCAAAAAAAAAAAAAAATGGTTTGTAACACTGTATTTACATCATGAGACCAAGCTGCCAAATTTGGACTCCACCAAAAACAATAACAAAAATACCTCCAAAACAGACTTAACAAATAAAGTTAACAAGATAACAATAAATAAGTTCAATTATAACTGGCAAATAATAGAAAACATTATCCCCACTTATTATACTTGCTTGCATAAGCTTGCACTTGCTTGCATAGGTTATTCCATATAATCATAGTCTCTACCAGTAGAGACTACGATCGCAATCTCTACTAGTAGGATCGAGATTCTACCAGTAGAGTTTAACCACTCTAACTAGGCTGAGAATGAAAAGAGGATAACGCCCTGTATCGCCTAAAATGGCCTTATTCGAAGCAAACTTCCCAACCCGTAAAAAGCGTTTAAAATAAGATGATTGGACTTTCTCTATTGCCTCACTATATTTTGTGCCCCATATCTCTGCCCCATATAACAAAATCGGCGCAATTTTACCATAAAAAGTAGAACATGCTGTAGAAAATGGAACATTTACAAGTTTTTTGAAAAATGTATAAACTGGAATAACAGCTTTAGAGGCTTGACATGCTAATTGTTTACAAGATACTGACCATGCTAATCTAGCAGATATAACTAATCCTAACTACTAATAATATGTCTTAATTTCTAAAGGAACTTTGTCATATGCCCAGTGTTCATGCTTAGCAATTTTACCTCCATTTCTGAATACAATGACATTTGGGTTTTTTGTGAGTTGACTCCTAAACCCCATTTCTTACAAAAGGAATACAGTACATTTAATTGTTTCTGCAGGCCATTAACAGTATATGAAAACATGACAACATCATATGCAAAAAGAAGTAACATTAAATCAACAATATCCTGTGTCACAAATACACCATAACTACACTCTTTATATACTTCTATTACAAGTTCATTAATGAAAAAGATAAATAAAGCTGGGCTTAATATGCAACCCTGTCTCACACCACTAGAAGTGGAAAACCCTTCTGTTCTACCAGATGAAGTTTAAATACAAGCCTTTACAGAAGAATACATATTACGAATGACGTTAAACAATTTTCCGTGACAACCTTTAATAAGCAGTACAGTAATTTCTTTCTATCAACGTAATCAAAAGCTTTTTTAAAATCGATAAAAGCACGATAGAATCTACCTTTCGGCTTACATAAATATTTTGAACACAATGTTTGCAATATGAATAGATTATCAACTGTAGAGTAATTTTGTCGGAAACGGCTTGTCATTTTGATAAAAGATCATTTATATCTAACCAAATTCTAAGGTGCTTTTCAATTTACCTGTGACATTCAGAATAGAAATACCTCTATCATAATTGTTGGGGTCAGAACGTTTACCCGACTTCAACAAAGGCAAAATCACAACTATATTCCATGGTTCTGGAAAATCGCCAGTATTTAAGACTCTATTATAAAGACGTTTCAAATAAGGTAAAATAAAATTTCCAGACATTTTAAAAAATTCAGGGGATACTCCATCCTCACCTGCAGATTTACCACTTTTCAAACTTTTCAGAGCATCTACTATTTCCCTATCTGTTATTTCACCTGACAAAATATCATCCGTGAAAGGCAAATCATTACAATCTCTCACAAGAATTTGAATTAATATACTGGGAGACAAAACAATCAAAATCGTTTACATCAACATTTTCAACTTTCGGATTTAACAAATTATTGAAATAATCGTACCAAATATCAGTAGACATCGAATAACTTGAAACATTTCCACGTGTAACTTTCTTTAACGTCTTCCAAAAACTCTTACAATCTCCATGTTCAGCAGACCTCTTTATATCAACACATATTTTGGTATTAAAAGAACGCTTCTTCTTATCACAACATTTTTTATATTCAGTTTTGGCATCCACACACAACTTTAAGTTTAAATCACATTTAAATCTTCTGAATTTGTTCAATAGAAATTATTTTCTCGTTTTTAATTTACTACAATCTTTATCAAACCAAGGTGGTTGCTGTGAATGAGATTTCCGGGTGACTGTATCATAGGCTCCTGCATTCACTGCACAGTGAATTAATATATCACTTAGATGTCTTACAGCAGTGTTGATGTTTTCCTCCAATAATAAAGTAAATGTGTTAAACATATCTATGACATCTTTATTGCGGAGATAATTTTGATATGGAATTTGACATTCCGGAGGAAGCCTGTAACACATCCTTGAATATGATTCAGCTTTTTGTGAATCTCATTATTACTTACTGATGGGATAATATTTTCAAAACAGCACACCAATCGAAGGTGGTCCGACTCAGTGCGTTGATAAACTTTCATATCTACAATATTATCGAATATATTTGAAGAAAGAAAAGAATAGTCAACAACACTAGATCCAGAATGTGATATATAGGTCATGTTTCCAACGTTATCTGATTTAGTTCTTCCATTAACAATATTGATATCAAGTACCTTACATATATGTAGTAGGTTTAAACCATAATTATTAACGACAGTATCTAGCGAATGTCGGGGGCAAGAGAAGTAATCAGATTTATAGTCATCATAAACTGGTAAATAATCAACATCATCATCTATGATATAATCTAATTCACTTCCAGTCCTGGCATTAAAGTCGCCACACATTATGAATTCCGACAACTCGCCATAATCATATATACTATCTAGCAGTTGTGGCTCTAACATGCCAGTCCCACTCTCTTCACTGTCTGTGTACGCCGGTGACCCCTCGGGGTTAATGTAAACAAACACGATGAAGAGTTGAAAGAGGGACAACTCACTTCTTATTCTGAAAAAGAGTAATTTTTTTCCAAATAAGATGCAATATCTCTTTTTAATACCAACTGCTAATCCACCAGAAAACCTTCCCAGGGTTTTATATCTTCTAGGATTACTAGTATAAATATCATATTCACCGACAATGTCATTTAAAATATCATGTGCAGATGCATAAATACTATATGTAAGCTTCTTAAGACGAAGCCCTTAAAATAGCTGTAGGGACTGATAGTGATGAAATTGTAAGATGTTATTCTAATTACTTTCAGAAGGCCTGGGCGTGAGGAATAATACTTTGCCCCCGTTTCCTATTATCCATAACAAAACATACAACCTTATGGATAAAAGAAGTTATACCTTTTCATAGTTACTCATCAACTTATGGAATGCCAATCAATCAGTATCTCAGTAGCTATAAAATAATCCAAACATTGACAAGTACTAACACGTATCAGTCAACAGAGATCCCATCTTTAGATAAGCGTGATAACAAAGTACCACATGTATTATGATACAATCCTTCATAGTTTAAGTGCTCTGTTAACACACCTATCGGGTCACATAACAACGACAAAATAATGTCAATACAATGACAAAGACAACAAGCAAAACATGTTGACTTGCAACCCAAATTCAAGAATGGTAAAACATTGTCTTCTTTCAGTCCAAACACATACCAAGTTGCTTTGCTTTGTCATTCATGATAGTCAAATGATAACTATTTAAAGATACATTTCTAAAACTGGATTAAGTTCAATAAATTATAAGTGTGAGTAGAAACGCAGTAATGTGAATGCTAGACTATCTCCAGGATCCTTGGGAATAAGTTAAAAAAGAAGGTCCAACTCAAGCCTTGAATGGTCGAGCAAGTCTGGTGCAGAGCATATCAATGCAAATGCATATTATCAGAATTCAGTTTTCATCTGTGTTTGTGTTCTCGAAATATTTTGTATACAGGGGTGAAGCCACAACCGGAACTGTCATCATGTCTGTTTTGGAGTTGATGGACAGTGGTCAGTGTTGGTTACTCAGGTGGACGATGTGATTCCCTTGAGAGATAATTCCATCTTTACTCTCTTCAGATAGTCAGGGTCAGGGTAGCCGTTACTGGAACAGATGCAATTCATCTTTAAAAAAAGAAGTTCCTCTGACTCAAGTTACAAGAATAACAAACACATATGTACACTGGGCTAATGACACCAACCTTCCATCTCAGCGAACGGATAGTATTTGTAGTCTTACAAATGAAGCAAGCTACTGTAGCTGGTTGTATATGGGAAGCCTGTATGTGTAAATGACTTTGACATCACACCTGACCTTAACACATGGCAAGTACAGATGACATTTTTTTTAGGACTGACTTCTCTCACGACCGTCATCTTCAATTTCAATTAATGACTTGCAAGAAATATCCCTTTTGCAAACAGGGCTGCTTAATTCACTTTGGAGTAAGTGTCAAGATTGCTGAAGTCGAGTGAGTGTCATTTATTACTGACAGGCTTGAACAAGTTGCGCTACTTGTCCTAATACGGTTGGGTGGGTTATGCGCATTCATAAAAGAAAGTCGTGCCAACGTTTTGATTTCTTAATTTCTGTTACATTTAACTGAGCAATAAACAGGAATATCAAACTAAATTGTTCGATTTGGGTCATATCTTGGCTATGCCCACGACTCACTGCCAACAGTGATGTTAACTAAAGCTATAAACCGCAAGCCGCCTGTTTCGCTTTGGCAGTCGTAAAATGGCTCAAATGTGTCTGTATACCTGTGACTCCCTGCTACATAAATCATACATTTTGATGATGGATATTGTTTTGGAACCTTGTTCAAGGTAAGTATACATGCCAAACAACTACACCATTAATCAAAAGATTATTTATTCAACCATATGATCAGATAAACTACTTTCCACAGAAAAATACATAATGTTTAAAATTAGAATTCTAATATGACAACTCAAGGTAGTGTACATCTCTTTTTCTGTTTGTGTCTCTGTCACAATGGTAAAGTTAAGGTTTCAGTCCCTGGATATTTCATGTTCTTATTTTAAACTAAAATGTATCAACTTCCCAAATGTGTTTTTAGGAATGCCATTATGTTGCGGTTGAGGTCATTTTAATATGTCATAAAATGCAAATAAAAAAATATAAAAAATAGTTCATAAAGGTTTTATGGTGGTAGTATTTTTTTAGGTTATTTAGTTTATTTGTTGTGAAAGAGTTCATCAATTATATTGATGACAAAAGTAGCATTTCAAGAGAAATGCATTTGTTCTGAGATCACTGTATATATTTAGCACTGGACAAGGTCAAGGCTGTCAGTGAAGGCTCATAGTTCAAGGTTGTGTCATGACACTAGCAGTTGTTTATCATGTGATCAGTTATGCTGATTTCTGATTGGTTGATTGGTTGATTGGCAAACAGTGGGATTCTGCATGTTACACCTAAGCAATTAACCTTCGCTTCACATTGGATTGACAGGTGAGCCGTTTTGTTTTCGCATGGCATTTTCACAGTGCTTGTTGTAATATAAATATTTCTTGTAATATGAATTAAAAGTAATAATTCCATGATAGTTTATATAAACCTTCCAAACATTATCTTTACAAAGTTAGTTACTTTCCAAATTTTTAAATTATTCCACTTCATAATTTAATTCCTTGCACTTTATCATTCCCAAAAGTGTGACTTGTGACTGACTGAATGAATTGTTGTACTGTTTGTGTACTACAGACGGTAGCGTGTATGCTGCAGTATGCCATGTGGTCTTGGAAGGGCGCCGCCATGCGCTTGATAAGCTGTATACCATATATATGTAAGTGACTGCTTGTCTATTAATGATTTTGTCACATGGTATTAGGCTGTGTCACTCTTGGTTTTATTCTTTGTATGTAATGTGAGAATGTGTATGTAATTATGCAATATTTTAAATGGGCATTTGTATTATAACTTAATGCAGTGTAATGAAATGAAATCTATTGCAATTTAAATCTGGTGTATTGAATATAATGTACTGAAAATGACTTCTGTTATTTCAACATGGTGTAATGATTGATATCTTAAGTATGTCATGAATAAAGATGTGATGTGTTGAAATGTCAAGTTATTGTTAACTATATTATTGCCTAAATGTTCCAGGGCACTAAATTATCGGTACCATGCTGGATCACCAAACTCACAATACCCTGAATAAAAGATCGAAGTCAGACAGCCTTCGTCGTCATTCCCTCAGGCGAATAGGGTTATTACATCTCAATCATGATGAATTAGGGAAGCACCAAACAGAAATACTTTAGTCATGACTTACTCTCCCGTCTTACTAGTCTTGTGAGAAATGTCGTTCCAGGCGATGACGCCACTCCCGTCAGTAGCAAAGGTTAAACCAGCATCAAATGCCTTAAGCAGAAGCTTCAGAACCTCCCACCCTTCTTGATTGTATGGTAGATAAGCTGTTCTCGTGATCCCCCGAGGCTGCCCAAGCATGTCTGCATCGAAGCTTACCTGGACAAACATAGATTGTTGCGGCAGTGGTAATCAAATATTTCCAGCATAAATAGTGAAGAAATTAATATTGATTTCAGATCTGCATTCTGATAGATATTAACAAACCGATGAACACATTTGTTTTAGTGACATTACTTATGCTCTCGGAAATTTCCTACTCCCTCAGCTACCCTCATAATAAAGTACGTAATTCTATTCACATAGCTTTCACCTAAACTCACACAGATATCATATTGTTACCCTAATAATAAAGTACGTAAGTCTATTCTCATAGCTTTCAGCTCACACAGATATCATATTGTTACCCTTATAATAAACTCACATAGATAAACTCACACATATCATATTGTTACCCTAAGAATAATAATAAAGTACAGTAAGTCTATTCTCATAGCTTTCAGCTAAACTCACACAGATATCATATTGTTACCCTAAGAATAAAGTACGTAATTCTATTCATATAGCTTTCAGCTAAACTCACACAGGTATCATATTGTTACCTTAATAATAAAATACGTAATTCTATTCACATAGCTTTCACCTAAACTCACACAGATATCATATTGTTACCCTTATAATACAGTACGTAATTCTATTCACATAGCTTTCACCTAAACTCACACAGATATCATATTATTACCCTAATAATAAAGTACGTAATTCTATTCACATAGCTTTCAGCTAAACTCACACATATATCATATTATTACCCTAATAATAAAGTACGTAATTCTATTCACATAGCTTTCAGCTAAACTCAGACAGATATCATATTATTACCCTAACAATAAAGTACGTAATTCTATTCACATAGCTTTCAGCTAAACCCCCACAGATATCATATTATTACCCTAACAATAAAGTACGTAATTCTATTCACATAGCTTTCACCTAAACTCACACAGATATCATGTGTGTACAGTTTTGTCGAATTCCGCTTTTAACTATTGGGGAAGTGTACACAAGTTATTTTGAGAATTTCCTAAACACGCAGTTACCTGACTTCCTATGTCATACATTTCCATGCAACAACTTATTTACCTCTTAATGATTGGGGAATATATTTTGGAATGTTTGTAGAATCATCTTTGGAGACCCTGTACTTTTATTGAGTGACTTTGACATTATTTTAAAAGTGTATGTTATCAGTGTGATGAAGGCCTTGCCGTAGAGTGAGCGAGTGTATACGCCGCTTCTAGCAATATTCCAGCAACATCACGGCGGGGGACACCAGAAATGGGCTTCACACGTTGTACCCATGTGGGGAATCGAACCCGGGTTTTCGGCGTGACGAGCGAACGCTTTATCCGTTGGGCTACCTCACCGCCCCAACATTACCCTAGAGGACATTTATGTTCTTATAAGTTATCCTGTACACAAGCTCTTTTCAAATCCCCGACACTGAACTTCAGTGTCATCTAATCATATGTTAGAACATCACTTGCTAGGGGGTGTTATATATATTAAACTGTTAATATTATCTGAATAAGACAATTTGTTTGTATGACCTTCACAGTGACCTTCACATTTGAATTCAACCTCCATTACTAGTTGGAAAAACACTTAGATTTATGCGGTCTAACCAGATTTCAAGTCACCTTTAGAGATCTTGAATTCGTACTTTAGGTCTGAACACCTACCGGTTGTATATCCCGTTGAAAGTCATATGTGATGACAATCGTTCCTCCACTATCATCATATCCAGGTAGCATTTCTGTTCTGCAAATTGTGTGTGTCATCTTCCCACCTTTAGGCTGGTTACCCTTCACAGCACCACACAGTTTCCCACATTCAGGACAGGCTCGTTTCACAGAGAAAGCCTGTCCGATACAGTCTGCACAGAAGGTGTGGCCACATGACAGCTTGGTCGGGACAGTTATTGTGTTCATACAGATGCTGCAAGTGTTACCCGGGTCTTTTGACATGACAGTTGCGTATGGGAGAGATCTGCCCGTGTACGGTAGTGTAAGCAAGTCCTTCCTCTGTCCACTATTTACGAAATTCAATCGATTCTGTCCGCGCCTTGGTACAACTGTAAGGTTTGATCTGTCAGTAAAAAATGTAATTGATGTAATAAAAAGAGAAAAAAACCAACAACGAACTAAGAGGAGTAACGATATTTCTGTCCCTCTTGAATACATGGTTGCGAGTCCCGGGCCTTTGCACCCACAAGAGACAGATGATCCATGTTTTGAATACCTTATGCTCAATGATCTATTCAAAACAAGTTATAGAATACTAACAATAGAGAGGCTGTGTATTGCAATGATAATCAGCTTGGGCTGATTCACAACAAAAAAATTCATGTACTACGCTTCGCAAAGACGGGCCTTCTTTTCTTCCTTATCACTTTCACATAATTGTTAATCTTGACATTTACATATTTGTTAATCTGTTTACGAACGAGTATATTTTTTATTCAGTATATCATTCTGTAAATTGTACATACGTGGATCTCTGAGTGCGCATTGTTCGATTGGTAGTGAAGACTTTCTCTTTTAAATGATTAATAAGTTCATTCTTGCTCATATATTTTAAAGCAGCATCGACCACTTCATCGAAACACAACAGAAGCTGATTCCTTTCTGAAAAATGAGAATGGAGTTGGCGTTATGTTCGTCTTATTGCGAGGTGAGATTGCTTCTTTAAGTGGCATTTTAGAAGTTGATGGAACTAGTTATGTGGATTGACAAATTCTTTATTGTCCTGAATTGTTTTCCCTCTCTGGAACACAACATCTATAGTGGCTTGCGTCCTTAGCGGATATGATGGCTGGAAGTATTGATGCATGGTATGCTGGTATGGTATGGTATGGTATGGTGTCTTGAATGGTGCAGATTCCCGACGTGGTGGTTTGTCTTTAGGGTTGAGGATGGTCTTGGTTTTGTTAGCTGGTTGGCTGGATACTGGTTGAGGTTTATGAAAACATGGCGAACGTGTTCTTCACATTCAAGGACTTGGGATGTGGAACTGCTGTGCTTGGCTCTTCTGGCTAGGGAGGTGATAATTCCTCTTAACTTGCAGGGGGTGGTTAGATGTGAAGTGGACATATTGGTCCGCATGGGTTGGTTTTATGTAGACGCTTGTGTGGAGCTTGTTGGTGTCTTTCGTGTCTATGACGTCAAGGAATGGTAGTTTGTTGTCAGTTTCTTCTTCCATTGTGAACTTAATGCGGGGATGTTGGGTGAGTGAGTGGTTAAGAAGGTGGGTAGGATCATCCACAGGGTTAATCATGACTAAAGTACTGTCTACGTTTCTGAACCAGCATATAAATGTGATGGGTGAGGTGAAAAGGACCTAATTTTCTAGTTCTGTCATGCATACCTCGTTGATGTTAGGAGAGAGAGGGGATCCCATAGGTAAACCATGGGTTTGTTGGTAGATTTTGTGAGACCAGCTGATGTAGGCGGAACTAATTCAGGAATGGATGAGGCAGATGACGCTGTTAGATTAGGAGGTAGATTAGCGTTAATGTCTCAACATTGTTGCACCATTGCATAAACTCAAACATCATAAAATCTACACCGAAACGTCGCATCCATTGGAATACAGAATTTATCAATCCATATAACAAGTTCCTCTTCAAGGTGATATTAGGGTGTGCTGTTTCTAAGGTAACTTTAATCTAATCTACTCTAGTTATTTTGTATAGCGCTGAAGGTTCCAGGTTGACTTTTCACTGGCGGTTTCACATATTCAAAGATGTACAGTGTATATACACAGTGCCTCCTGTTTTAACAGTTTTGAAGAAATGGGTTTTATATTTGCCCAAAATGTTGGTGGCATTTCTGATAACTTGATGTGATCTGGAAGAGCATTCCACATAGATACTGCTGCTGCATCTGACACTGCGTTCACCCATAATTTTTACAGTGAAGCATCTGGAGAAGGTCCTTGCCTTGGGAACGCAGTGTCCGGCTTGGTGTGTGAGTCTGAACAAGGGCTTTGAGATAAGGAGTCTGTCTTGAGGTATTGGAAAGTGTGGAATAGGATTTTGAACTTGATTCTCTTGGAAACTGGTAGCCAATGGAGTTGTTTGAGAAGATATGTTGGTGCTTAGGTGTCCGGGTAATGATCCTGACAGCTGTATTTTGGAGGAGTTGAAGTTTATGAAGGAGTGTTGAGTATATGCCATAAAACAGGGAATGAGAGTAATCTAGTCTTGAGAGTGAGTGAGTGAGTTAATATTTAACGTCACATCGGCAATATCTCAGCCATATCGTGACGAAAACAATTTATACAATAAAAAAGGAAACACTTTGAAGAATAAAACCTGTCGACGAAGGTCAGTAAAAATCACAGATATGACCATAAAACTAGCATGTTAAACTAAAACAGTTTAAAGAAGACAACACAATATAAAACACGAGTTATAGATCGCCAACAACTGAAGGTAGATCACCATACTAGAAACCATGGGGACTTACATTACTTTTACTACCTGCAGGGACCCAAGATTGATTTACACCATCCGTTCAGCCGCTGGCGATGGTAGGGAGTCTAATCTTGAGATGATAAACGATTGAGCTCGCATTTTAGATGGATCTTGAGAAAGGTGACTGTGGAGTTTTCCAATCTGATGGAGGAGGAAATGACCTGTTTTGCAAACGGCTGCTACTTAATTCTGCATTGTCATATTGGAGTAAAAAACAACGCAAAGATTCCGTAGTTGTTTGCATGATGTTCCTGGAGTATCTCCAATTCTGCATGTGGGTTTAGAATCGGGTATCTTCTGTAGTTGGTGATGGGACCCACCAAGAAGAACTTCAGTTTTTTTCCTATCAATGGTGTATTTGAACCGGGTTTTTTTAAAATACACACCGGAAGTCAGGCATAAATTACCGACTTGAATGGCAATCGTTCACTTGTTTTCTGAACACAGCAGCTATGGCTAGGTTAGCGAGAGGTGTTGGTGGACGATATGACGGTCCTGACGACGTGTTGTTGCACAGGGTAGACCACTACGTGGACGGTCATCAGTGCTGTTGGTGGCGTTGTATTGCTGTCTAAGACGTTCAATCATTCGTACGCTGCAACTGAAGTTATTAGCAATAACTCGAGCACGTTGACCAGCGTCTAGACGTCCAATTGCTTATTGTCGTTGATCTCTCGTTAACCTAGCCATAGCTGCTGTGTTCAGAAAACAAGTAAACGAGTGTCATTCAAGCCGGCAATTTATGCCTGAATGCATGCATGATGCACGTGCATCTCGATTTCAATGTTGTGTTTGTGCGAACTCTTCCCTTTCCACAAACAAAAACATTTCTAACCTCAATCTGAAACAATAATTTATTGGGTAAAACAGGCTATACGGCCACGATTCATGTTTTCATCAAACTTGATTTCCGGTGTCTATTTTTAAAAGAAATAGGTTCAAATACTCCATTGATACTTCAATGTCATTTCGAATATTACGTTTCTTCTGCCTTTCAATATATTTCAGTAACAACCAGGAGAACCTTTTTATGATAAACACCTATTAAAACCATGCAGCCATTAACTAATATGAAGGTATAATTATGGTATGGGCGTTGGTATACTCACCTTTCTCGTTGTCAGTACACGCTCTCACACATCCTACTGCTGACAAAAGTTTTTCCACAAGTTTTCCATTTGAGGCAGAAAATGTCACTGTAGGTTCTGTCGCTTTTGATCGTCCTTGACCTTGACCTTGACCTTGACCTGATGCTTCCAGGCTGTTCTTGATAGCAGGATACATCTGCAGCATTTCCACAACATCAGCTTTATCCCTGGCCTGTGTGAAGTATGTTTCAGTTGAGTCTATAACAGCAAGGGTGTTGTCTATCGCCTCCACTTCCTTCTTAGACAGAGCCAACTTTGTCTCACTTCTTTGGTCGACGTCTTGGTTCAAACGTGCTTTTCTTTTATTTAGAATACTTGTCATGCTTTTAAAGAATGTGGTGACGTCAGATCTGGCCATCATCTGAGCTTGCACGATAGCTTTTTGACTTTTTTCTTCACACATGCGCCTCTGACGCAGTTGTTGGGCATTTGTTTGGACTGCTTGCATCAATGACTCCAGCTCCTCTTGTCGTTTCTTAGCCACGTCCTCGAGTTTCTGGAACTTATGACCTTTATGTTCCAAAACCGTGCAAGACATGCAGCACAGTGTATCATCAGTAACACAGAAGAACTCCAGCTGGTGTTTAGGATGATGAGTGCAGCAGTGACGCTTGCCTAACATGTTCAAGGGTTGCTGCAAGGCATCACTCAGGGATATGATCTGATGGTCGCGCGTCAGTTGATGACGTTTGTGTACATACGTGCACTGCTGACACAGATACACAGAACACTCTTGGCATCTGGACTCGGCTGTATTGCCATCGGGGCAGTCTGTGCATGGGACGTTCCCTTCTTTCTTCATTTGAACAAAATCAGTAAGTTTCACACGGACCGGATCCAAGGGCAATGAGTCCGCCTTCCCTGGGACATTGTGGACTTGACGACACAGAGGACATGTGATCTGGCCTTTCCCCTCCTTGGCGAGCAGCTGCTGAAGACAGTGTGTGCAGAAGGCGTGGAGGCAGGTTATGAGGAGACGAGGACGTCTGTCAGTCTGGTTGAAATGTTCCACACACACAGGGCACTCCAGGAATGTGTCTTTAAGGGCGCTCATGTCCACCTTCTCCTGGGCTTCAGCCATCCTGTAATATATGCATTAACATCCAATTGCTTGGTGAGTGTTACCTCTCTCCCTCTCTGACATCACCAATAATCACCAAATTCAATTCTTCTTGGCCAACATTCCACTTATTACCTGGAAAGTATCAGAGTAAATTTGCATTGTATCCTGATGTCAAGGCGCTGAATAAATGTTCTCTTTAACACCTATCTATTTACTGACATCCCACACAGGGAATACCCCATCAACTTCAACATCCAGTTTTCCAAGTGCTAATGATAGAAAAACGAGTTTAAGGCAATTACTTTCATGACATGGAATAAATTCATAACTTGATGAATAATTAAGTTGTAAGCCATGTCCACGCCAATTACTTTTATCCCTAACTTATCTCGTGCATTTTCTCTTCAGAAGACCAGCCAAGGGATCGGGGATCCTAAAGTACTGTCGGAAATGCTAGAAAAATGCTTATTGACTTATATTTAAAATTCAGAGGTATTACAGTTACTTAAATAACAAATATCACTTGAAGAAACATCTACCTAATGTAGACCGAGGGAATAAATTTTGAGACATGCTCTGAAATGTGTTTTTACTGATGAAAATACCAAAAACTTAGAAAAATAAGGGGTAGTGGGACGTTATTTGATACAAACATTAAGTGTCTGTGTTACGTCATCAGCATCCACTGTATCGACAGGTGAAATTGACACCTGAGCACACGCTCGTGGGAGGGGTCATCTCAATAGATATTTTCTGCAAAATGTTGAATATGTGTACGTATAGTATACGTATTGGTTATGTAAAGGATCATTTGTGTATGTGTCTTTGTTTTGAAATAAACATACGAATTACTGTACATTGGAAAGAATCCCTCACTTGTGTTATCTTACCGATTGATTGTAGAAATGTGCAACGTTTTAATAAATGTTTTGCATGTCAACAGTATATTTCATTGCAAAAATATGGATGTAATTCGGTCAGTTTAATCTAGTTGTGAACATTGGCCAAAGATTTAACGAAGTCACTGGTGTAGCTTCTTTAGAATATATATATTATTCTTCTCATAAAGTTTGTAGACCGCCCGTCTAAGCACTCCCTTGTCAAAGTTGTCAAGGATGGTTTCACGTCCCAGTTTTGCATTTGAGACGGTCCCTGTCTTTTCTGATTTGTTTACAATATTGTAAACTTGTTGGTAAGACATGCCAACAGCTCTACAAGATCTGTAATAAACCCTTTCCAAACTAATGAAAGGTTTACCTCTGTCTTTTTTTAAGCAGAAAAAAACTATAAACCTTTGCAACAATTGACTACAGATCGTTGGCCATAGTGGACGCTGTGATAAAGATGTGCATGCATGACGGGAAACTTATTTATATTTATATTAACATTTATATTAATATTTCTTCAATAAAGAAACGATAATTAAGTAGAGTAACACAAACATTCAACATTTATTTGTTTAGGAAAAACGTTAATTCATATTTTTACACCACCTGTATGATTAGCATCAATGTAAAGGCTATTTAAGATTTCTGTTGTTGAACTCTGAAAAAATCTTAAGTTGCTGTTTTGGTGCCAAATTCTCTCCTGTACACTGCCCTTTAAATGTATGGGAATGTTAAATCGATTGAAATAAAAATTAGGTAGACAATAGGCGAGTTGATATATTGACAACATAGTTCATTTATCACCTTTATAAAGATATTAAGGCTAAAAAGCATTTTTCTAGCATTTCCGACAGTACTTTAACAAGGAAATGTCAGTGAAAAGGGTACGTTGAGACCAACAAATATTTGGATATCTGGTAATATTGTTCTGCTGTACCTCATCACTGAACGTTCGTCACGCTTGTGAATTTTCAAAGCTAACAATCGTATATTCCCATAGCTGAGTCTAAGGTGATCAGCTGATCTCGAAGAAATTCAGTCATATGATATTTCACTGTGTATAGTGCGTATCAAATGAAAATACTGAACCGATAAAATAGATTTAAAAGTGGTTTTCGTTACTGTATCCAGACGAATAGCAGATGACAATCGTATGTTCACCTTCTTTAATGTCAATGAGGATTGATACCGCTTGTTTGTTTGTTGCCGCACTCGAACTAGTGATCAACAGCATGAGCATCGATCTACGCAGTTAGGATACGATGGCATTAGGTCTGGGACGGGTACCCGGGACAGGTGGGTAATGAGTTGGACCCGGGTACCTGTCTCAATACCCGGGCCCGTTATGATCATGTGACTAATATATTAAACAATGTAACATGTTACTCTTTCATGATTAAAAGGTTGTATTGTTTTTCACGATTTAGACATAATTTACAGTCACTTCTTTTGAATATAATACATGGTTAAGATATTGAAAAACTCGAAATATTAGCCACCGAACTGAAGAATATATTGCCATTTTCTTGCAAATGTGATGTCATAACATAACGAGTATCCGGGTAGGGTAGGGTAATAGGGGGTGGGGTACCCGGGTAGAAAAGTTTGACCCCTCCCAGCCCTAGATGGCATGTATCAACCAAGTCAGCGAGCCTGACCACCCGGTCCCGTTTGTTGCCCCTAACGACAAGCATGGGTCGTGGACTGTGGGATTAATTAACGTCCAGAGTGAATAATGTGGAATTTCAAAGAGTTAAAGGTGGTTACTAAAGCCCTATTTAGACACATAAACGTCTCACAAACTCTTACAAACCCACAAAACAGCTTTTGATAACAAAATGCTACTCGACTTCCTGGTCCTACTTTCTGTTTCGCCAAACAGCCCCATGATCATGGCCCATGGCTTGTTTGTTATAATCACAGCAGTCCAGCTTTTGGAGGTATTCTAAGTATTTTCGTGATCTTAAACACTTCATACTAACCTTCATAAACAGTTACGAAGTGTCGATTTCTGAACATACGCTGAATACCTGTTGTTCTCAAGGAGTTCTCAGGTATCGCCTTTTCGTGAAACTCATTTAATGCATGACGTAAACTTCGGTCAACCTCGCCCTTTTCCGACTCTTTGTGTAACCGTATAGGTGAGGTGAGGTGACATTGGGTTTAACGTCTTGCTTGAGAATATTTCGCTCATATGACGACGTGCATGCGTGTGTATGTGTATGTGCGGCTGCTTGCACTAGCCCAGACTTAAGCTGGTTTTATAGTGCTAGCTCACTGAGATACCATGCCGCAGTGAAGAATGATTACCCCACTCATACACAGTATACTGACTCCGAGCCGACCAGTCCTTGTTGTACCCATTAATGCCGAACGCCAGGCAGGGACCAACAAGTACCATATTTAAACGTCTTTTGGTTTGACGCGGTCGGGGATCGAACCCGCGACCTTCCGCTCTCCGGGCGGACGCTCTAACCACTACACCAAGGAGTGTAACCGCATAGACTATACATAGCCGATCATGTTCAGGCAGGATCATGGTATGGGATCGTTGTTCTGAATGATTTTTTATATGCGGTTCACTGTAGTAAATCAACATTTAGCTCAAATTCGGGAGACACAGGACGAGGTAATTGCTTCAAAAACATATCATTTTGCCTTGTATAGAACTGCTGAGCAATGTTACTTCTGTGTGGATCTGGATTGTGTTGACCTCTGTTGTCAATAAATCTCGTCAGGAGGGTGTGATGCCGGATACATTGGAAAATGGAGTTGTAACTCCACTCCTGAATAAGGAAAGTTTAGATCAAGAACTCTTAAAAAATTATCGGCCTGTCACAAACCATACCATAAAACAGGTCAATACCATAAAAACAGGTATTGACCGAATTCGCCAGTCTATAATTGTTTTATTATGTAATTACCGAAAGAGAGCTTCTAAAATCCAAAACATAGCTTGACGTCATAGTAACTCAATATGACTTTTGGTCGGACCTGGCTTGGAGTCAATATGCTTTTTATGTCGACGGGGCGGTGGGGTGGCCTAGTGGTTAAAGCATTGGCTCGTCACGCCGAAGACCCAGGTTCGAATCCCCACATGGGTACAATGTGTGATATTATTTCTATCGTTTGAAGTATGAATTAGAGGGAAATTATTTTCTCTTAGCGGTATGAAGCGTTCACATGGGTTATCTGCCCGGTAGGTGGCGTGTTATGGGAGTATATAAGGGTGTAGATATTTGAATTTGGCATTCTCGATTAGTGCACTCCCGGCGTTTCAGCATTTAACATGAATTCTGACGAAAAATTAGACGCCATTTTGTCACAACTAGAGAGAAATAAAGCCACGTTTGAATCGGCCCTCGACGAACGGATTGGGGCTTTGAGGGAAGAATTCGTTCAGACATCTAAAGACATTAAGAGGCTGAAAGCAGAAAAAGATTACACTTGGCGACGTGAAGGTAATAAAATTCAGTTCAATTTTAACGAAGAAACTGCGGATGCTTTAAAAGAAGTGTTGGCCGCCATTCAGGGCAAACGTTTTGAGGAAAGTGAAACGTTAGTAACGTCAGAGTTGGAAAGAATCCTTAAAAGAAACAAACTCATCAAAATAGCTGACTCGTCTGAAGGTGGGTGGGAGACAGTGAGGAATTACGTGGCAAACGATTTAGCTGACGATTCCGATGATGACCGGAAAATCACGAGGGCAGATAACAAAGCGTTGCGTAAATTACGCCAGAAGCGTGGAAGAGGTGCTCCATACCCGAGTAGGTCAACCCGGAGACAGACAACGATGTCTCAGCCCATGCAAAGTGTCCTTCACCAAACTACTCCTGTGCTTCACCAGCCTAGCACTAGTCATCTTTTTCGCGGGAAAAGCGGGAAGCCTGGATCATGTTTCACGTGCGGAGACTTCGGCCACTTCAGGAGAGAGTGTGCCTTTAATTCGAGTTTGTCAGCCGGAGCGTCAACTTCCAACACCCAGGGAAACCAGTAGTACCGGTCAAGACTTGTCAGTTGAGTATTTCTCTCATGATGGTTTTGTTGATGATGTATGTTCTATATAGCTCACTGATGACTATTATGAATATGAACAAGGCACGTCTGAAATTGTTGTAAGGGGCCGTCTCAAAAGCAATGTTAAATTTTGGAGAGATATCAAAGCTTCTCAATTTGTCATTGATCTTATACAACATGGTTACAAGATTCCATTCGTCAATTGTCCACCTCCTATGTCAACATCTAACAACCAGTCAGCATTAAAACATAGTGATTTTGTTACGCAGGCTATTGACGATCTATTGAAGAAGCAACATATTTGTGAATGTGCAACCCCGCCATATGTGGAAGAGGTGCTCCATACCCGAGTAGGTCAACCCGGAGACAGACAACGATGTCTCAGCCCATGCAAAGTGTCCTTCACCAAACTACTCCTGTGCTTCACCAGCCTAGCACTAGTCATCTTTTTCGCGGGAAAAGCGGGAAGCCTGGATCATGTTTCACGTGCGGAGACTTCGGCCACTTCAGGAGAGAGTGTGCCTTTAATTCGAGTTTGTCAGCCGGAGCGTCAACTTCCAACACCCAGGGAAACCAGTAGTACCGGTCAAGACTTGTCAGTTGAGTATTTCTCTCATGATGGTTTTGTTGATGATGTATGTTCTATATAGCTCACTGATGACTATTATGAATATGAACAAGGCACGTCTGAAATTGTTGTTAGGGGGCCGTCTCAAAAGCAATGTTAAATTTTGGAGAGATATCAAAGCTTCTCAATTTGTCATTGATCTTATACAACATGGTTACAAGATTCCATTCGTCAATTGTCCACCTCCTATGTCAACATCTAACAACCAGTCAGCATTAAAGCATAGTGATTTTGTTACGCAGGCTATTGACGATCTATTGAAGAAGCAACTTATTTGTGAATGTGCAACCCCGCCATATGTGGTCAGTCCACTCTCGGTATCGGTACAATCCTCCAGGAAGAAAAGATTGATTCTGGATCTTCATAGAATTAACTCTTATGTGCATAAACTAAGCGTCAAATACGAAGATTGGAAATGTGCTTTAAATTATATCAACGAAGGAGACTGGTTGATTAAGTTCGACATTCATTCCGCTTATCATCATATTGATATCTTTCCCCCACATACTCGCTTTCTCGGGTTTTCATGGAAAGACAATTCTGAATGTGTACATTATTACAAATTTTTGGTTTTACCGTTTGGGCTTACATCTGCTCCTTACGTTTTCACTAAGGTCACTAGACAACTTGTAAAGAAATGGAGGTACGAGGGTAAGAGAATTGTGACATTTTTAGATGATGGAATTCTTGCTGGATCTTCTAAACATGAAACAAGTTCGTTTGGATCAGCAGTAAAGTTAGATTTGATCAGTTCTGGGTTCGTTCCTAAGGTGGAGAAATCTCTCTGGTGTCCGTCACAGTCGTTAGAATGGCTTGGATTTCATATTAACACTTCTTCCATGATGTTAACTATTCCTGATAGGAAAATTGAGAAAATGTTGACAGCAATAAGGTTGTTGTTGTCAAGTCATACACAGAGGATTCCTGTAAAAAGTGTTGCTTCCATTGTTGGTCAAATTGTGTCAATGAAACTTGTTATTGGATCCGTTTCACAGCTTATGACTAGATCTCTTTGTATTGATGTTGTTGCCGCTGCAACCTGGAACAGTAATATTTACATTTCTGCAGGAAGTGTTACACAGCTCACGTTTTGGGCTAACAACATACAGAAGTATAAAAGCAGAGAGTTGATTGCATCTACAGTCATCAAGAGATTAGTCTATACTGACGCTAGTAACACGGGGTTCGGCGGATATTGTGTGGAGATAGACGGTTTATTTTCTCATGGTCAGTGGTCCAGATTCGAGTCTATGCAAAGTTCTACATGGAGAGAATTAAAAGCTGTGCATATGGTGCTCAAAAGTTTTTTGCCTTAGTTATAGCTAAACAGAGTGTCAAGTGGTTCCCTGACAATCAGAATGTGGCAGCTATAATTGAGAAAGGAAGTATGAAAGTTCACCTGCAGTCAATAGCTCTTGAGATTTTTTGGTTGTGTACGCAACACTGTGTTGATCTTCATTTTCAATGGATTCCGAGGAATGAGAATCAAGAGGCGGATTTCCTAAGTCGTTTGATTGACTATGATGACTGGGGGATTTCTAAGGCCACTTTTCAATGTGTTGACAAAAGATGGGGACCTCATGAAGTTGATAGGTTTGCTTCCTATTACAACGCAAAAACTGAAAAATTTAACTCTATGTTCAGCAATCCAGGATCTACAGCTGTGGACTGCTTTACCGTCGACTGGAGTGGGACTATGAACTGGGTTGTCCCCCCTATCCAGGTTATTCCTAGGGCAGTGAAACATTTGTCTGTGTGCAGAGCTAAGGGAACCCTGGTAGTGCCTGAATGGCATTCAGCATGTTTTTGGCCTTTGATATGTTGCAACTCAGTGTTTATTCCACAAGTCAAGGACGTTATGTATCTACCATGTCAAAACAATGTTATGTACCAAGTAGGATACCAGGTGGTATGTTTGAACATGATTTACATTTTAATATGTTGGCACTGCTAGTAGATTTTTCCTGATTGTTTTCTATATGTTACAGATGTGTTCAAATCCTTGTATAAGGAGGACTTGGAAGAGTTGCCAGTCAATGTTAGGGAGCTGGCGGGAGCTTTACCAGAGTTGATATCGCACGCTAGAGCTGAGTCAACTAATAAGAAGTACCAGAATGGTTTTGCTGCGTGGAAAAGGTGGGCAGAGTTGAATGATATGCCTTGTCGGCTACCAGTGTCTCATCTACACTGTGCTATATATTTGTTGTCGGTTGGACAGCAAAGTGACACTATATCGCCTGTTATGTCAGCTTATTATAGCTTGAGATATGCTCATTATAGCATGGGATAGTCCCACTGATAATGGTTTGGTAAAGAATGTCCTAGAAGCAGCCAAACGTAAATTAGCTAAGCCTGTAACGAAGAAGGAGCCTGTTGATATTGATATTCTGCATAAAGTGTACGATTCCAGGAGTAAAAATGCATCATTGGCGGATTTGAGAATATTAGCTGTATGTTTACTGGCTTATTCTGGGTTTTTGAGATCAGCAGAACTTTTAAATATAACAAGATCAGATATTGTCTTTTTTCATTCTCATATGACTGTTTTTATTGAGAAGTCGAAGACAGATGTATATAGAGATGGGGCATGGCTTGTAATAAGTCGGACGCATTCTAAGTTGTGTCCGGTGGAATGTCTCGACAGATACCTGAGAGCAGCGGAGATTTCACCAGAGTCTCAAGAATACATTTTCAGAAGTTTGACTAAAACTGGTAATGGTTATAAATTAAGAAAAGCTAACGCTCCTTTATCCTATACTAGACTTAGGGAAATTTTCTTGGAAGCTTTGTCACCTTTCGTGGTTAATATTAAGAGCTATGGTTTGCACAGTCTGCGCAGTGGTGGTGCTTCGGCAGCTGCAAATAACGGTATACCGGACAGAATGTTTAAACGACATGGGCGCTGGAAGAGCGAAAATGCTAAGGATGGTTACATCAAAGACAGCATTAATAGTAGAATGAAAGTCTCCTTATCCCTGGGCCTTTAACTTTCTTTGCTATTCTCTGCTGCGGAACGCACGTCGGTTCCTGTTGTTCAGTATGTGCTTGTTGTGTTTTATGTAGACGGGAATGGGGGCGACTAGGAGAAAAGCCCTTTGTTGGTGTCCCCCGCCGTGATGTTGCTGGAATATTGCTAAAAGTGGCGTAAAACCAAACTCAGTCAGTCAGTCAGTTTTATGTCGACGGTCACGTGACCGCCTCTAGACCAATCAGTTTGCCGGAAAAATATGCTTGCATAATAAATGACTTTGTCGGTGACTTAGAAACAAGTTTCACAATCTCTGCTTCTGTTGCTGGTCGGAAATGGGATAGCATGCAGCTGCTGGTTGGGTTTCACTGTGTGGAACGCCATCATGTGGTAGTGAGTCTCTGATTGTGGAAATCTTCTGAGAAAAGAAGTCTGAGAACTTGTCAACTAATTGATCAAGGGATGTATGAGATGGAAGAGATGTGTGTGTATGTGTGTGTGTGTGTGTGTGTGTGTGTGTGTGTGTGTTTTCACAGTACACTAGGGGCGGTGGGGAAGTGGTTAAAGCGTCGCTCGTCACACCGAAGACCAGGGTTCGATTCCCCGCGTGGGTACAATTTGTGAACCCCATTTCTGGTGTCCCCGCCGTTATATTGCTGGAAAATTGCTAAAAGCGGCGTAAAACTAACTCACGCACTGACTCACCCACAATACACTGTGCCAGAATAGGATAGTGCTTTCAAAACCGACACGACAGGAATGCTTGCGACTTTCGTGACACACAGTGCCTTCAATGATATTTAAATGAAATTGATCCATCTACATTTCACTGCTATCTAACGCCAAATGGCATCTGTTTCTGTTAACCATCCAGACTAGTTATTCTTCAGCACTGACGTTTATATTCCATCCATGTGTCGTCCTGTGTGTATCATATGCTCTTGGTTATGGAAGAAAATATATACCATCTACATAGATTATACTTTCATCGATAAGACTTTCATATACGTAGCGTAGTGGTTAAAGCGTTCGCTCGTCACGTCGAAGACCCGAGTTCGATTCCCCAAATGTGTAAAACTCGTTTCTGGTGTCACCCGCCATGGTATTGCTGGAATGTAGCTAAAAGCGGCATAAAAAAACTCACTCACTCACTTACTCATGTACGTATATGATCTAATGACTTAGACAATGATATTGCCTCGTATTTATTCAACAAACTGTAGCCTTTATTTCTCACATTTCTCACGAGTATTAGTTCGATGTACATTTCATAGTTTGTGCATCCCCCTTCGTGTTGTTTTCAGAGTCAGCGATTCTAATGTATATGATACCCTCGTCTGCGTAGAATATGTTATCACATATGTAGATGAAATCATGTTCTACGTAAACTTGAGAAGTGTCGTCTTCGCAGAAGGAGTTATCAAATACGCAGGTCAAAGTTTGTAAACGTTGATGGCATATTTAATGTTGCACCAATGCTCTTCCATACAATTTGTCAAACTATCAGCGCTAAAATAAAATAACACAAGCTCATTCCAGAATCGTCAAATTAGGTAAAGAGATGGATGCTCATGCTCTTGATCACTTGATTGTCTGGTCCAGAGTTTATTTTTTACAGACCGACGCCATAGAGCTTTTATAATGCTGCCTGTTGCATCAACCAACCAACCAACCATTAACAATCTTTAAACCATGGCTCCTTTGATTCAGACCGGGGTTTAACTGACCGCCAAACCAGTTAAACCCCGGGTCGGAACTACTTTCCAAACAACAAACAAGGGAAAGAGTTCCGCCCGTACCCCCCAGGTGTCATGGCGTCTTTCGTGGGTGCAGTATAGTGTTCTATTCCCAGAGGGTCTTTCAGTTGTGTTAAATAATCGTATTATTTTGCTATTTTGCCATCACATTATTGAATGTTGGTTGGATCTTTTTATAATCCTACAACTGTCATTGTGTTTTAAGCGTATTTTAGAAGGGAAGGGGGAGGGTGCGGGCGGAACTCTTTCCCTTGTTTGTTGTTTGGAAAGTAGTTCCGACCCGGGGTTTAACTGGTTTGGCCGTCAGACGGAGCAGTCACTGTGCACGATGGAGTTAACATGTCGATTGTAACAGTTTTCGTACATTTTACCGGGACACCCTGTACAAGTATTCTCAAGGTACCCACAGGTATTGGCTATATCTTCATCACTGCTTGAATTCATCATAACGTACATATCCAGTCCTATTTGTGAAGATGGAGGCAATGTCACTGTCAAATACGTGTGCATCCATACTGTACAGGTGCTCTGACCAAAATGGCGATACGCATGCGCGTTCTTTGAGGTATTCAGAAAACAAATAATCACTCATGTCAAATGGCCCAAGCGAAACCAATAGCAGCCAGAAACAAGAATAATTAATAGTTAAGAATTTGAAGTAGTTCGAAATGCACGTGCAGGTCATGCAACACATGCTAGCTAGCGTCTGATGTCAGTGGCCTCGATGGGAAAGCCTGTTCACAAACATGAACGCAAAACATACCTACACACAAAATGCAGATCGCTGTTTTAACTTACATTTACAGAATAATCAATCAAATTAATACCATCTAAAGATGGCCATGGTTTAAATAGGTTAGACCACTCGGGCTCCCGTGTTTACCCGTTGAAATGCTGAGTTAAATCCCTCGGCGCTACGCATTCAACGGTTAAACACGGGGCCTTGTGGTCTAACCTATACATAACCATTCCAAAAAAGTAGGGGATATTGGATTTGCAAGATTGATAAAGTGCAAATGATGAAACCAAGGAGGAAACAGATGATGAAGAGAAATTAAGGGAAATGTGACAATTTATTCCATTCCTTTGGAAATGTTTCATCTGTATGGATATATATCACTTTTTCTCATATGCATTGGCATTGGCTAGTGGTATGCTCGAAAAAATGGAATAATCCCTACTTTTTCGAATGGTAGTTATTAGGCTTGTATATTCATAGGATATTAAACAAGCTTCCATACAAGCTTCCATTAAACATTCCATATCAAGGTTATTTTTAGGTGAATTATTGATTTGCCTTGGCGTGTGTTTGTGATGGGTGTTACCAGTGAGACAGGAGTGATTCAGAAACACATCATTAGGATGTAGTCGGAACTGCGCAATTTGGAAGTTCCACGATTCTCCCGGGTTCCGTCTTTCAGCCAATATATATATTGTTGTTGTTTATGCTATATCTATTATTTAAGGACAGAGATGCGAATGCATATTCATACGAATGCATAAAACATGCTACAAAATGATACTTATATTAGGTATTACGAAGGATGTTACAGGAGTAGGTGCTTGTATATTAGATGACACCCGGTGTCATTCACGATAGCAAATACTATATATCATATATCATGCAGCTATGTAGCATGCTGCAAGTAAGGCATGTAAGACAATATTCAATAGACTCCATATATGTATGGATAGCGATACTACGGTACAGGCAGTATAGAACATTCTGCATTTCCACACATGCGCCTCCACAGACAGGCGACGTAGCCCGCCTTCAGCAGTTACACGACTTCGCTGATCCCTTTCCGTTTTCTTTCCGACCTCAATTGGTTTAAACTTCCTCGTACAAAGATGACGACGTTGGTATCACAAACGTCGTAGATGGAGGAAACACATGTTTCCCCTGCAACACACCACCCATCCACGGCCATACGACATGCAATACTGGGGTTATTGATTGCAAAACGAGAGAGAACGCTTTTACCGCCTGCTTGCAGGATTCTCATAAAATATGCTGGCTGGTCACGTGGTCTGTAGTGTTAGCCATCATGGATTGTTGATTGCGGGAATGGAAGTGAGATTCGTCTTGTTGTACACCGTCTAGGTGTGAATGGTATCCCGTGCTTGTTGAAGTCAGGTGTGAGCGAAGTGTCGCGTGGTTTCAACGCTGATTAGTATGCAGGTAGGTGATGGCAGATGGAGGTCGATACCACCCGTGGTGACAATCAGACACCCCCTCTCTCATGTAATAAAATATGTGTAGTAAATGATGAATGTATCGATAGTGTTATCACACTTATTCAAAATGTATCAACATTTTGATTTTACTTATGTAGACATGCGTAGTAATGTGTCCCAAAATGTATATCGTGACATGTTTACATTATATTCATATATCTATAAATATATATTTACACTGAATGATAAAAGTCACGTAAGATTTCCGTTTTTAAAACTAATATTGACCATGTTTGGTATACTGGTAACCATTCGAGGGAAGTTACTCAAGGCAAAGGTGCCACCGTTCCCAGTTGTGCTGTTTGAACAATTCCTCTAAATTTAATCGATTCTGTCTGCCATTTTACATTGTATTATAATCGACAGACAGCTTCTTTATGTCAAAGTTCAGAGGACGCCCCTAGCGCTGATGACTGACCCACAGACGATACACAAGAGTTAGGGAAGGGATTCTATGTCAAGCTGTTGTTACCTCATCCCTGTAAACATCAGACATATAGTATATTCTCCACTTCACATTCGTTCTTCAAACCCTCTATAACGGTGTTGACTTGTTTTAAACATACAAGAAACAAAGATATTCCCCTTTATTCTAATATTTCGTTTTCCCGATTTCAACCGAAATCCATGCCAGTAATTTTTTCAGTATGACAGATATCCACATGCATCGTTGTCAGATACGACAAATTAAAATATTTCACGGTTTCTCGTTATATCTGATAGGCAGCTTCGTTGGCCTGGAACCAATTACTGTATTCTATATGCACCAGATGCGGTACGTGTAGTTGGGAGACGGCTCGGATGAACGAATTGACCCAGTTACATTCGATGTGCATCCTTCACTGCACGCCTCACATGTAACCAGGAGAGCGTGGTTTTGTAATGACATTAGCTTGCAACCAGAATATCTGCCCGTTTCCTTGTTTTACACTAATCTGTGACTATATATCTGTCTTTGTTAAGGGCAGTGTTGTAATGACTGTCATGAGCTTGTGACTATCTCTGTCCTTGTGAGAGGGTAGTGTTGTAATGACTGACATGAGCTTGTGACTATCTCTGTCCTTGTTAGAGGGTAGTGTTGTAATGACTGTCATGAGCTTGTGACTATCTCTGTCCTTGTTAGAGGGCAGTGTTGTAATGACTGTCATGAGCTTGTGACTATCTCTGTCCTTGTTAGAGGGTAGTGTTGTAATGACTGACATGAGCTTGTGACTATCTCTGTCCTTGTTAGAGGGCAGTGTTATAATGACTGTCATGAGCTTGTGACTATCTCTCTCCTTGTCCTTGTTAGAGGGTAGTGTTGTAATGACTGACATGAGCATGTGACTATCTCTGTCCTTGTTAGAGGGCAGTGTTGTAATGACTGTAATGAGCTTGTGACTATCTCTGTCCTTGTTAGATGGTAGTGTAATGACTTGCTTGTAATCTCTGTCCTTGTTAGAGGGCAGTGTTGTAATGACTGACATGAGCTTGTGACTATCTCTGTCCTTGTTAGAGGGCAGTGTTGTAATGACTGTTGTAATGACATGAGCTTGTGACTGTCTCTGTTCTTGTTAGTGGGTAGTGTTGTAATGACTGACATGAGCTTGTGACTGTCTCTGTCCTTGTTAGAGGGTAGTGTTGTAATGACTGACATAAGCTTGTGACTGTCTCTGTCCTTGTTAGAGGGTAGTGTTGTAATGACTGACATGAGCTTGTGACTATCTCTGTCCTTGTGAGAGGGCAGTGTTGTAATGACTGACATGAGCTTGACTATGACTATCTCTGTCCTTGTTAGAGGGTAGTGTTGTAATGACTGACATGAGCTTGTGACTATCTCTGTCCTTGTTAGAGGGTAGTGTTGTAATGACTGACATGAGCTTGTGACTATCTCTGTCCTTGTTAGAGGGTAGTGTTGTAATGACTGACATGAGCTTGTGACTATCTCTGTCCTTGTTAGAGGGTAGTGTTGTAATGACTGACATGAGCTTGTGACTATCTCTGTCCTTGTTAGAGGGCAGTGTTGTAATGACTGACATGAGCTTGTGACTATCTCTGTCCTTGTTAGAGGGTAGTGTTGTAATGACTGACATGAGCTTGTGACTATCTCTGTCCTTGTTAGAGGGTAGTGTTGTAATGACTGTCATGAGCTTGTGACTGACTATCTCTGTCCTTGTTAGAGGGTAGTGTTGTAATGACTGACATGAGCTTGTGACTATCTCTGTCCTTGTTAGAGGGCAGTGTTGTAATGACTGTCATGAGCTTGTGACTATCTCTGTCCTTGTTAGAGGGTAGTGTTGTAATGACTGACATGAGCTTGTGACTATCTCTGTCCTTGTTAGAGGGCAGTGTTATAATGACTGTCATGAGCTTGTGACTATCTCTGTCCTTGTTAGAGGGTAGTGTTGTAATGACTGACATGAGCATGTGACTATCTCTGTCCTTGTTAGAGGGCAGTGTTGTAATGACTGACATGAGCTTGTGACTATCTCTGTCCTTGTTAGAGGGTAGTGTTGTAATGACTGACATGAGCTTGTGACTATCTCTGTCCTTGTTAGAGGGCAGTGTTGTAATGACTGTCATGAGCTTGTGACTATCTCTGTCCTTGTTAGAGGGTAGTGTTGTAATGACTGACATGAGACTGTGACTATCTCTGTCCTTGTAAGAGGGGAGTGTTGTAATGACTGACATGAGCTTGTGACTATCTCTGTCCTTGTTAGAGGGCAGTGTTGTAATGACTGACATGAGCTTGTGACTGTCTCTGTCCTTGTTAGAGGGTAGTGTTGTAATGACTGACATGAGCTTGTGACTATCTCTGTCCTTGTTAGAGGGTAGTGTTGTAATGACTGACATAAGCTTGTGACTGTCTCTGTCCTTGTTAGAGGGTAGTGTTGTAATGACTGACATGAGCTTGTGACTATCTCTGTCCTTGTTAGAGGGCAGTGTTGTAATGACTGACATGAGCTTGTGACTGTCTCTGTCCTTGTTAGAGGGTAGTGTTGTAATGACTGACATAAGCTTGTGACTGTCTCTGTCCTTGTTAGAGGGTAGTGTTGTAATGACTGACATAAGCTTGTGACTATCTCTGTCCTTGTTAGAGGGCAGTGTTGTAATGACTGACATGAGCTTGTGACTATCTCTGTCCTTGTTAGAGGGCAGTGTTGTAATGACTGACATGAGCTTGTGACTATCTCTGTCCTTGTTAGAGGGCAGTGTTGTAATGACTGACATGAGCTTGTGACTATCTCTGTCCTTGTTAGAGGGTAGTGTTGTAATGACTGACATGAGACTGTGACTATCTCTGTCCTTGTTAGAGGGTAGTGTTGTAATGACTGACATGAGCCTGTGACCAATTATCTCTGTCCTTGTTAGAGGGTAGTGTTGTAATGACTGACATGAGCTTGTGACTATCTCTGTCCTTGTTAGAGGGCAGTGTTGTAATGGCTAACATGCGACTGTGACTATCTCTGTCCTTGTTGGAGTGTAGTGTTGTAATGACTGACATGAGCTTGTGACTATCTCTGTCCTTGTTAGAGGGTAGTGTTGTAATGACTGACATGAGCTTGTGACTATCTCTGTCCTTGTTAGATGGTAGTGTTGTAATGACTGACATGAGCTTGTGACTATCTCTGTCCTTGTTTAGAGGGTAGTGTTGTAATGACTGACATGAGCTTGTGACTATCTCTGTCCTTGTTAGAGGGTAGTGTTGTAATGACTGACATGAGCTTGTGACTATCTCTGTCCTTGTTAGAGGGTAGTGTTGTAATGACTGACATGAGCTTGTGACTATCTCTGTCCTTGTTAGAGGGCAGTGTTGTAATGACTGACATGAGCTTGTGACTATCTCTGTCCTTGTTAGAGGGCAGTGTTGTAATGACTGACATGAGACTGTGACTATCTCTGTCCCTGTTAGATGGTAGTGTTATAATGACTGACATGAGACTGTGACTATCTCTGTCCTTGTTAGAGGGCAGTGTTGTAATGACTGACATGAGCTTGTGACTATCTCTGTCCTTGTGAGAGGGCAGTGTTGTAATGACTGACATGAGACTGTGACTATCTCTGTCCTTGTTAGAGGGGAGTGTTGTAATGACTGACATGAGCTTGTGACTATCTCTGTCCTTGTTAGAGGGTAGTGTTGTAATGACTGACATGAGCTTGTGACTATCTCTGTTCTTATTGGAGGATAGTGTACTAATCATTACATGACATGCATTAACTTTAAGTAGTATACACTAAAACGTAACTAATCTGTAATTTTGTTCAGGCGAACTGTCCTGGTGATTGACATTAACCCTTGGAGTGATATCGATGTAGTGAAGACTGAAATTAACTCGTGACTTGGATCCGTAGTGTTGTTTGAGTTTAGTCAGTGACGTCTTGTGTTGTAGATGACCGGCGAGAGCAGGCTGGAGTGGGCAGAGACAAGTGGCGCCGAGGACGTCCGACGCCAGGACAGGTATGGGGGCAACTTCTCAATCCCCGAGTTCAAACCCTGGGGCGCCCAAGGTGCTGTCGCCACAGTGTCCGTCATATTCACGTTCTGGATCGTGCTGGCGAATGCCTTCCTCATAGCAGTTATTCTAACCAGTCGATACCTACGTACCCAGAGACCTACACTGTACGTCGTGCAAATAGCATTAGCAGATCTGGCGGTTGGGGTGTTTTACTGTCCGCTGGCAGCAGACTTCTACCTTCAGCAGGTGTGGACACATGGTTGTGAGAGTTTGTTCATCTGGAATACGTTTCTTTACTACACGACATTCGTTAGTGTTCATGCCTTAGGATTGATAAATCTGAATCGTCTTTTCGGCCACTGCTGTCGTCTTCAGTTTGGACCGAAAGTGAAGTTAGCCCTGAACTTGACCTTGGTCGTTCTGCTGTGGCTCTACTTGGTCTTCTTCGGCCAATCTGTCTGGAACTTTAGAGCAACTGAAGCCGTCATTGTCCACCCCAACCTCTTCTGTCATGCTGACATCTCCTACACGGGTGCCATCGCGTCAGCTCTGTTGGGATTCTTCGTCCCGGGGGTAGTCACTGTCATCTTCCTGGTCATAATAATCATCAAGGAAAAGTTCTCCAAACCAACTCACCATGAGCTTAACAGAATAGAGAACAAGGTCTTCAGTCTGAAGGTTCTGTCTGGAGCCAACGCGATCACCCTGTTGATGTCCCTCCCTTGCTTTGTCCTCAACGTGGGGCTCAGTCTGGGAAGTTGTGGATCCCTGGAGTGCATCCATTGGATCCTGCCTGTCACCACAGTCTTTGAATGGCTCCTGTTCGCCAAGTCGGGCATTCAGCCTGCAATATGGCTCATCAACCCGGACTACAAAACCGCCATGTTGCCCGTGGTTCGCTTCATCAGACGACAGCCAGGAATGGATACAACGGAACTTGTGGAAGCTGATGATAATTCGGATGAGGACGAAGCTCCGAACGACGGTCCTGAGGTTCACACACACAAACCTCAGTGTGCAGAGGAAGCACCGCCAGACACGGGATATGGAACCAGTTGCTGACTTCAGTTCTGTGGGAATAGATTGTTATAACATTGACCTGAATTTCTGTGTTTGTATGGACTTAGTCGCCGGTGTAACCGACAGAAGTTTTGAGAACAGCCACACGATTCCAGTCTTGGACTAACACTTGTTTTAGAATCTTGAAGCAGCTAGGTGCAATGTCTGGTACAATGCACCTTGACACGATACGATCACGCTGTAGGTAGTTCAGCATGTTCATGCACCAGGTAATAGAAAACCTTTTAGAACACTACGTTAGAGCAGTACTTGTGTTACTCCAGGTAAAACTGATATATATAGTTCTGTGACACTTCAAGCTCATCTGATATTTAATGTTCTGTGACACTTCAAGCTCAACTGCATTTAACTACATCTTTTGCTTACTGCTTTGGAATTGACGTGCTTCCTGGTCAGAGCCTGCTTCTGTCCAAATGCATGAACCCTCCCTGACCTGGGGAACAATTATTATTTAAGATACGTTTATGCTCCGTCTGCACTCACGGACTTCTACGGAGGAATCTCTGAAGTACAAGGATGTTCAGTTCTATTTATGGAATACAAATGTGATAAGAATACCAACTCTGACATGAAGATGAGAAAGTCGAAGTTTTTCGATGAGGATATTTTATTCTTACTGTTATGGGTTACCTAGCCCGTATTTCAGGAGTGCTTGTAGCGTTAGGGCTGGACTTTGCACAGGGTTAGACGTTGCCCAATGGGCATTAGAACCAGCGGTCACGACGGGACCGGGCCCGTACGATTACAGATGCCTCATAACCCATTCATCTCAGAGGTGACACAAGCGGAGTGTGATATTTTCGATGATGTTTCTGTTCTGTTACAATTGTTGGTTTATGTCCAGAATTTAATGTTTGTTCATCTCTTGTATGCGACACACTATATTAAAGTAATGAGTGTAGATAGATTGTTCTGCGCCTAAAATATTCCGCTTTTACACCCGCAGTTAGCAAAAGGCTAAACCTGGACGTTGCCCATCTAATGTGCTTCTTTATAGTTCAAACCATGATAGAATTGACGGCATTTTGAACATAAATCTATAACCTGTCCTTGTTAAAGAAATTGTGTGTTTTTATTTTGGGGGGAATTGGGAAGAAATTGATTCAGGGATCGCGTAATTACCGTTATAAAGTCGGATGCGGCTGAGTGAGTGAGTTTAGTTTTACGCCGCACTCAGCAATATTCCAGCAATATGGCGGCGGTCTGTAATCGAGTATGGACCAGACAATCCAGTGATGAACAGCATGAGCATCATTCCATGCAATTGGGATACGATGACATGTGTCAACCAAGTCAGCGAGCCTGACCACCCGATCCCGCTGACACGGCTGAGGTAATTTGTGTTTTCTCAGTTCCCAGAGCTGCAACACAAATTTCTTTGTATATATGGTTGTAGATAGTTTTGAAAACCAAATTTGTTTTTAATTAGATCAGCTCAGTTCATGGTCGAACAAAGAAGACTGACTTCTGTTTTCACATATTATTTTACTACTATGCAAAAGGTTGGATATTCACCACACTAACCGAAGCATACCTAACAGATTAGCACTGTGACTTAGTTCGGCATTGAAATCCAAATTCACTTATTCACAATGTATATATTCAAAACGCATAGAGCTAAAATCCAACAATAAAGCTTCTACTGGAAATTAGAGCACAATCAATCGCAATGGAACCCAAGATATAGGTACTCTCACAAACTTACCACATGCATTAGTTGTCAAATTACTTTCAGGTTAACGGAGGCATATCTTTGTAACGTACCGGTACCAAAAATAAAAATAAAAATAAACGAAACGTAGTTAAAATAATGCCATCGCCATAGAATAGCCAGTCTCGAACATCTGCAGAATATGATTCCATGGGGCTCAGGTTGCAAAATGGTATTGAAAATTATAAGAAAGTGTCACTTTAAATTTGTAATTACACCATCTAAGCATGACAGTTTGCTAGTACAATGTTTTATTTCTACGCCCTGTGTCACCTGAACTAATCCCAGCATTAGGCTCACACCCACTTAAGCATGTTCTGCAGCAAGCCTGATGCTCGGGGACACAATTACTGTTATAGCAGCATAAATCACTTCCAACACGAAGGTCTCTATCAGTGTCAAATGTAGGTCCCAGGGTAGATTTGCGCTGTCAAGTAAGCAGTGTTGAATTTCCTACAATGATATTTTCCGTTGCATTTAAAAGAAGTGTAAATTTTCTTTTAAATTGTAGTTATATGTATCGCCATCACAATTTCTATTCATATCATGAATATATATATAATACGAATATGCATTTATGAATCACATAATGTGTTCCACATGCTATGACAGATGTTCTTAGACAGCGAGCTTGCAATGTACATCGTTTTGTCGAAGATGTGTTGAAATTTCAAAAGAAATTGGTATACTTTGCTTTGCATATAACACTAACCGTGTTAAAGATAAGTTTTCACAACATGCCGGTTTTTCAGAAAAGTTTGAATAAAGGTAGTAGGTTTATATGAACTGGTCAAAACATTTTCCACCTTAAATGTAATCTGGATGAAATATTTGAATAAAGGTTGTAGGTTCGTATGATCTGGTCAACACGTGTTTCACCTTAAATTTAGCCTAATCCGAACAGTTTGAAAATACTTAAGAGAGATGGAATTATCTCTTGTAAATAAAATATCATTGTTTCATCAACGTGTCAGCCGAAAGGAATGCCAGAAGCGTATGTAAAATATCCTACTTGCACCTCGCTTTACATTGTTTAGCACAGATCGATTCTTCAGCAATGATTGTATTTTACGTTGCAAGAAGCGTAAATTTCATGTTTGTACCTGTCTCCATCCCAATTACTATTCACAGCATGTGTAAGTTTCACAAACCACTAGGAAGTACTGAGCGAAGTACACACAATGTCATTGTGGATGAAAATGAAACTAATGACAAATTGTGATGTGTTCGACATAGTTGTTACAGTTGTGTTTTGGACCTTACTGACTGACTGAGTTTGGTTTTACGCCGCTTTTAGCAATATTCCAGCAACATCACGGCGGGGGACACCAGAAATGGGCTTCACACATTGTACCCATGTGGGGATTCGAACCCAGGTCTTCGGCGTGACGAGCCAACGCTTTAACCATTAGGCTACCCCACCGCCCCGTTTTGGACCTTAAGACTGCAGTGTTTCGATAAATTAAAGTTTTTGATAAAGGTTGTAAATGTTTGGTCAACTTCAATTTTCCTTTCACGTAAAGGTACATAATATTTCCTTTCTTTTTTTCGTCTTTCTTTTTGTAATTGAATTGTATTGGTACATAACAGTACAGTTCCAACATGCGCAACACTTATAGACTTGGGCCTAGATTTTCGAAGCTCTCTTAGCGCTAAGATAGTCGTAAGTTAATGTTAATGAATGGCACTTACGACTATCTTAGCGCTAAGAGAGCTTCGAAAATCTAGGCCTTGGTTGTTCGTAACTGCTCTTACCATTCCGCTTGTCAGTATTGTAAAGAGTTACCTCCCCTGTGCTGTATTTTTACCAGTCAATTTATTGCTGCATTTTTCCTTTCGGAAAATGAATATTTGTTATCTGTTTATTTATTGCGGTGTTAAGGACAGAAGTCCTGTGTTCACCATTTGGTGCATTGTTATCAGTGTTTATGAATACGGATACTCATTGTTATTGGGTAAATATTGAGTGGGTGTAGAGGCACGGCGCTGTGCGTTGACTGATACTTTTCATGACAATGCTTGTTTTATCTTGTTAATTGACTTGTTGACTTCAATAAAACGTTTTCTGTTCACAGACATGCTCTGTTTTCTCTCTTCTATTTACGTTATCACAATATACTACCAAATATGTTTTATTTACAGTGTTTGCAGTGTGTCGGTGACTGGTTCCCTCAAATGCTTGTAAAGTACATACTTACTACTGCCTACACTTCCGTGGTGTAGTGGTTAGAGCGTCCGCCTGGAGAGCGGAAGGTCGCGGGTTCGATCCCGACCGCGTCATACCAAAAGACGTTAAAATATGGTACTTATTGGTCCCTGCCTGGCGCTCGGCATTAATGGGTACAACAAGGACTGATCGGCTCGGAGTCAGTATAATGTGTCTGAGTGGGATATTCATGCTTCACTGCGGCATGGTATCTCAGTGGGCTAGCACTATAAAACCAGCTTAAGTCTGGGCTAGTACAAGCAGCCGCACATACACATACACACACATGCACGTCGTCATGTGAGCGAAATATTCTCAAGCACGACGTTAAACCCAATTTCACCTCACCTCACCAAATATGTTTTTTTCCGGTTTGTTGTGGAACGTAGCATACTAGCGCTACCATACATCCACTCAATGTATTGGAGTATATTAACGTTTATTAGTTTCTGAACATATATACTTCTGATACAAAGAATAACTACTATGAAATTGAAAAGGAGCCCCAGCGTGCTGAGAGATTCAGAGGAAATCTGGACTTGCTTCATCTAGAGTTTTTGCAATGGAGGAAGGGTTGAGCGGAAGGGACATAATGCGGTGTAGGGATTGTGGGACAGACTAGATTGGTGTTACGATCCCCTTTGGTCGAAGATCGCTTCGTTGAACCGGGCGTTAGATAGCAGAACCACAGTAGACCTGAACCAATGTTCTCAGAGCAATGACTTTTCGTTTGTTTGTTTGTTGTCTAACGCCACACGCAGCAATATTCCAGCTATATGGCGGTGGTCTGTAATAATCGGGTCTGCACCAGATAATCCAATGATGAACAGCATGAGCATCAGTCTACGCATCTGGGATACGATGACACGTGTCAGCAGTGCTGGCCACCCGATCCCGCTAGTCGCATCTTACGACAAGCA